ACACACACACACACACACACACACACACACACACACACACACACACACACGATAGTGATAAGAGAATTAGAGCAAAAAGTCAAAACTTTGTGCAGCCCAACTTTTAAAATACACAAATAACAGTTGAAGCAGCGATGAACTCAGACTTTGCAGTGAAGAACTCAAAGTAAACAGAAAACAGGTGTGTGGCTTCCACCAAGGTACAAAGTAAATACAGCACTTTGACAGAAACACCTTCGACAAACTAACAGGAAACACCTTTACACATCAAATCATTCATTAAGTCTAACGGTCAGACACATCATTCTGCCAAAATAACCAGTGAAACTGTTTCTGGAGAGTAAACTTTAGGAGGAATGTATGTTTTGAACAGTCTAAATAAATGCAACAGTTCCGGCGCTCACCAGCAGATGGCAGTATGAGCCTGCTGCAATCACTGCAGAAACAAGAACGACTTCAATCCAAAGCATTTCCTGTCACAGCTGACAGTCTGCCTCCATGATTGATATCACTGCCTCAGCATAAAAAAACAGAAGCTGTGCCGTTAATTTCCCTCCCCGAGACGCCACAGAACAAGATGTTACTAAAGATCTACGCGCAGGAGACGAAAGAGGAAGAGAATATTTCACAGTTTCACTCTGATGTGCGATAAACCCCGGCCTGACGCGAGACGTTGCACGACTGGATGCTTATCTCTGCCTCTGCAAGAGACACGTGGACATGGCTGTGAATATCCACGCCGTGTCGTCCTTGCTCTGCCCTCGAGCTGCAGAAATGCCGGTGGGTCGATAAATAACAAATAAAGAGTTGCACTTATATACTGTAAGAAATACAAATGCAACAAACAAACAAAAAGTATGTTCAAGAGAGAGAACGTGTGACGGATTCTGTCCGACGAGTCTGATGATGTTGGACTGGACAGACTTGTTTATGTTCTGTCGTTTGAAATTCTTTCTCTGTAAAGAAACAATCAGTGCACGTGCCGTGCTGTCATCACTGTGTGTTTCCATACAGCGACGGCATGTTCTCTGCATTTAACCCATCACACCTGAGATACACCCAGGTGGAGCAGCGGGCAGCTATGCAAGCACCCGGGGAGCAATTAGGGATTAAGTGTCTTGCTCAAGGACACCACGACATGTGGGCATAGTGGGGAATTGAACCTGTGACGCTCCGGTCTCAAGTTGGCCGTACCTCAACAACATCTCGGCCGATTTGAAATTAATTATTTCGGCTGCTCCCTTCACAGCGAACTAACTCGCTCGAAGACTTGGCGGTTGTTTCACACCGGACGCCCTGACACAACCACAGCCCTCTGTGTGGAACAGAGAGCTGCCATGTAGGGCACCTGGGGGAGCAGATGATGGGGGTTAGGTGCCTTGCTCAAGGGCCTAGAGTGGGGCAAATGAGGGTGGAGGTAGGAGTGGGTGCTTCACCTTTCCCATCCACATTTGATGTCGGTTTGGGGGATTGAACCGGCGACAGACCCACCTTGTCTAACTTCTGTGCCACCACTCCAATAGAGCTTACGGCACCTGGTATTGCCAAGCGGTCTCCCATCCAGGTACTAACCAGACCCGACCCTGCTTAGCTTCCGAGATCAGACGAGATCGGGCGAGTTCAGGGCGGTGCGGCCATCCCCAGGCTCTTACATAGCTGCCCGCTGCTCCACCTGGTGTACCTCACGTGTGATGGGTTAAATTCAGAGAACGGATTTCGTCATTGTGTGGGAACACACAACGATGACAACACACAGCAACAGCAGCGCTGTGAACAGGTGATCTCGGAGGGACGCCACTTTAATTAAAAATATACGTGTTTTGGATCTCATACAAGTGACTCGGTAAATGTCTTGTCTGGTGCTGAATGTTCAGGACATGCAGGGACCATCTCCTCAGGTACCTGGGGGAGGTTTGACCTCTGGACAGGCCTCTGGGGTCTGATCTGTAAACCCATAAGTGACTGAGCTTGTACCTGTCAGGACAGATTTGCTGCCTTGCTTGCGGTGTTGAGTTTTAGTTGCTCCTGGAGGTAAAGAGGTTCTTCTTGTGCAGTCGGTTAGCAACACGCCATCTGATCACAGAGCTCCAGGTTTCATTTGAAAACTTTTCCTGCTGCTGATGGATAAAATCCAGTTGTAACGCTAAGATAAATCTTTTTTTTTAAACAAATGATGCTAAACCTGGTTGTGAGACCGACACCTTGTCTACCTTTAAGACCAGGCTAAGACTTTCCTTTATGATAAATCCTATAGTTAGGTTTGGCTCAGGTTTCCTGAGCTATCCATTAATTCTGCTGCTATAGGTTTAGACTTCTGGAGGACAAAGTGACTACATCACTCTGCGTTTCAGTTTTTCTTCCTACAGAAACTATACCTGGACCATAGAAACTACAGTTGAGCCATAAAAACTACACCCACCTGGACCACATAAACTACAGCTGGACTATAGAAACTACATCTTGATCATAGAAACTACAGCTGCACCATAGAACAACAAATAACAACTAATGAAATCAGGATGATGAATTACAACATTTAATTTCCTTTTGGGATTAATAAAGTGTTTTTGAATTGTATTGAAACTACACCTGGACCATAGAAACTACACCTTAACCATATAAACTACAGCTGGCTGGAGAAACGTCACCTTGACCATAGAAACTACAGCTGGACCATAGAAACTACACCTTGACAATAGAAACTGCACCCTGACCATAGAAACTACAGCTGGACAATAGAAATGGCACCCTGACCATAGAAACTACAGCTGGACAATAGAAACTGCACCCTGACCATAGAAACTACACCGTGACCATAGAAACTGCACCCTGACCATAGAAACTACACCGTGACAATAGAAACTACACCCTGACCATAGAAACTACACCGTGACAATAGAAACTGCACCCTGACCATAGAAACTACACCTTGACAATAGAAACTACACCCTGACCATAGAAGCTACACCTTGACCAAAAAAGCTACACCCGGACCATAGAAACTACACCTTGACCATAAAAGCTTCAGGTGGACCATAGAAACTACACCGTGACAATAGAAGCTACACCTTGACTGTAGAAACTACACCTTGACAATAGAAACTACACCTTGACTATAAAAGCTTCAGGTGGACCATAGAAACTACACCTTAACAATAGAAGCTACACCTTGACCGTAGAAACTACACCTTGACAATAGAAACTACACCTTGACTGTAGAAACTACACCTTGACAATAGAAACTACACCTTGACTATAAAAGCTTCAGGTGGACCATAGAAGCTACACCTTAACAATAGAAACTACACCTTGACCGTAGAAACTACACCTGGACAAGTCATTCTGTGTTTGTCTCCTTCCCGTCCTCTCTAACTCAAGCAGGTCGAGACAGGAGAACACTCATCTTGAGCTCAGTTCTGTTAGAGGTCTCTTCCTGTTAACAGGGAGTCGTTTCTTCCCACTGTCACCAACAAGAAGTGTTTCATAACGTATTCTCTCAGAATTTATTGCATCATAACTGGAATCAGATTTGAAACTGGATTTGAGTTTGATCGACGATTTGGACTTGTATTTTCTTTATCTGAGATGACTGTTTTTGTTGAACTGGTGACTGAACTGAAAACAAACGATGAGTTTAATGTTTCTCACAGCAGCAACAGTTTGGTAAAGGATGAACTAAAACAGTATCTGAACTTTCACCTGCAGACTTTCTTATGGTCAGTGTGGGATCAGGTTGTTTTCGGGGGTGCAGCACACTGGAATCAAGTGGTAAACAGCAGTAGTTTCGGTGAAGCACAGCTATTTGCACCTTGATTAAACCAGTAAATTTAATTGTGGGTCAAACCTCTGTGACTTCCGATGAAAAATGAAGAAGCTGCTGGACTTACTGTTGTGTTTAAACACCCGGATAGTTGCTCCTGACAGTCTGGCTCCCAAGATAAGAGATGTGTGATTGAGCTCGTCGCTTAGTATCAAACAGCCCTGAAAATCAGCAAAAAAACTGTCAAATTTCACACGGCACGCTTCCACTTTCACTGTATTCTCTAAACTATTGTGTATAAATATATATATATATAAATAATTCTCATCTTTCACCGTTGATGAGGAAATTCGCTAAGGCACAAAAAAGTGTTTTGGATTTAGTTACATAACAAATGAACAGGAATAAGACTGTTACTGTAAATATTTATGAATGAATACATCGTAGAATACCAACTATTTTGTATCGAACATGTAATTTAAAAGATTACTTGCATTTATTTGTATTTTAGCTTTAAAACAAAAAAATTCTCTTATGTAAGGATGTTCATGTGTAGCATAGTAAAAGGATTTACACGGCCCATTTCTCCTCAGCCTTTTCCTCGTGTCCTGCCCCCCTTCTTGTTTTAATCACTATCATTTAGGTCTTGGTATGAATAGAAATGTGCTGCTGTACACGCTTGTTTTTCTTCTTTGATGTCTGAAGAAATTTTGACCTATATGTTGTAATATCTCGTGTCCAGACTCCAGTACTTCATACTCTGTAGAAAATAAGCGTGCACTTGTTCCAGGAAATTCCCTCAAGAGCATTAGCATGTATAGCACTGCAGCTTGGAGCGTTTGACTGCATTAGTCTGAATGGAGTCTTGTAGGGGGTGTGTTGACATGGACCCAGTGACAGATCTGTTCAGTTTGGCCTGGGGTCAGCCTGCCCTGGACGCTGGTCTACCAGCAGCTGTCACTTTAATGCTGCTTCACCTGCACAGACAGGCCTGTCCTGGCACTTCCTGTCCCTATAGAACTGAGCTGGGATTAAGGTTTGACCCAACCCAGATTTTACAGGGATAACGTCGAGCCACTACAACTAAACGAGCCAGAACTCATCACTTAAACCAAGGGTCCCCACCTAACCCAGATGAAGTTTTGTCTGAACCCAGACCAGTTGGTAAATTTCAGTAGAATCAATGAAACAAAGAAAAAAGCTTTTACGATAATTGATTTTAGGGGCTCCAGCTTTCTACCATTTAAGGTAATTTATTATTGGTGGCAGTTCATTTTAAATAAGGCATTTTTTCAGGCATTTAGGGAAATTATTTTAGTTGATGCAGATTCTTAAGCATTTACTGTAAATAATTTTAGGCAGAGCAGCTTTTCTACCATTAACAGAACTTTATCCTGTCATTTTTAACACTTACGGCAGGGCTTAATTTGAGCAAACAATTGCCGGAACGCACCCTGTCAGAATAAGCGCATGCCCGGTAAACTGAAAATAATTACATAAACACTCATTTTAAACATAACAGTCTCTTACGAGCTTCTTATTACGAGCTTCTTATTACGAGCTGCCTCTTCTGCGTCAACCCTTAAAAAAATCTTCGCCCCCTAAGAGCGGTGGGGGTGAGTGCTGAGCTAACCAGGAAGTCGTACGCGGACAGGAGTCCACAGGCAGCCACATGGAGGTTCACATGTGGAGTTGGACAACAATGAGCAAGGACAGTGTCGGGCTGGGAACAGTCAAGTGGGGGGTACTTGACAGAAGCAGTGTTTGCAAATGTAGGTAAACGTAAAGGCTTAACGACCCGTTAAAACACCAAAATGCAGGAAATTGCATCTACTATATTCAAAATTTTCTTGGGGAAGACCTCCAGACCCCCGCACTGCCCACTGTTTACGTTTCGGCATCAATCGGTTTATAAATTAAGCTCTGACTTACAGTATTCATTTGAGGGGAGGGGCACAGCTTTTCTAGCATTTACGGTAATTTTAAGGCATAGAAGCATTCACTTGAAGAGAATAGATGGGCCTTGAAGAATTTTAATTGAAGTCCTCCGTTTTAAAACAGCAACCTCCTCCTCTATCCATCCAGTCAAATTAAAGATACAAACCGGATTCCAAAAAAGTTGGGACACTAAACAAATTGTGAATAAAAACTGAATGCAATGATGTGGAGCTGGCAGATGTCAATATTTTATTTGTAACATAACAGATGACAGATCAAAAGTTTAATCTGAGTAAATGTAACATTTTAAAGGAAAAATATGTTGATTCAAAATTTCACAATGTCAACAAATCCCAAAAAAGTTGGGACAAGTAGCAATAAGTGGCTGGAAAAAGGAAATTGAGCATATAACAAACAGCTGGAAGACCAATTAACACTAATTAGGTCAATTGACAACATGATTGGGTATAAAAAGAGCTTCTCAGAGTGTCAGTGTCTCTCAGAAGCCAAGATGGTAAGAGGATCACCAATTCCACCATTGTTGCGCAGAAAGATAGTGCAGCAATACCAGAATGGTGTTACGCAGCATAAAATAGCAAAGACTTTTAAGTTATCATCATCAACCGTGCATAACATCATCAAAAGATTCAGAGAATCTGGAACAATCGCTGTGCGTAAGGGTCAAGGCCGTAAAACTCTACTGGATGCTCGTGATCTCCGGGCCCTTAAACATCACTGCACCTGAAACAGGAATGCCACTGTCAAGGAAATAACAGAACGGGCTCAGGAATACTTCCAGAAAGCATTGTCAGTGAACACAATCCACCGTGCCATCCGCCGTTGCCAGCTGAAACTCTACAGTGCAAAGATGAAGCCATTTCTAAGCAAGCTCTACAAGCTCAGACGTTTGCACTGGGCCAGGGGTCATTTAAAATGGAGTGTGGCAAAATGGAAGACTGTTCTGTGGTCAGATGAGTCACGATTTGAAGTTCTTTATGGAACACTGGGAAGCCATGTCATCCGGACCAGAGAGGACAAGGATAGCCCAAGTTGTTATCAACGCTCCGTTCAGAAGCCAGCATCACTGATGGTATGGGGTTGCATGAGCGCTTGTGGCATGGGCAGCTTGCATGTCTGGAAAGGCACCATTAATGCAGAGATCTATGTTCAGGTTCTAGAACAACATATGCTCCCATCTAGACGTCATCTCTTTCAGGGAAGACCCTGCATTTTTCAGCACGATAATGCCAGACCACATTTTGCAGCAATCACAACATCATGGCTACGTAGGAGAAGGATCCGGGTACTGAAATGGCCAGCCTGCAGTCCAGATCTTTCACCTATAGAGAACATTTGGCGCATCATAAAGAGGAGGGTGCGACAAAGAAGGCCCAAGACGATTGAACAGTTAGAGGCCTGTATTAGACATGAATGGGAGAGCATTCCTATTTCTAAACTTGAGAAACTGGTCTCCTCTGTCCCCAGACGTCTGTTGAGTGTTGTATGAAGAAGGGGGGATGCCACACAGTGGGAAAAATGGACTTGTCCCAACTTTTTGGGGATTTGTTGACGCCATGAAATTTGGAAACAACAGATTTTTCCTTTAAAATGATACATTCTCTCAGTTTAAACTTTTGATCTGTGATTTGTGTTCTGTTCTGAATAAAATATTAGATGTTGGCACCTCCACATCATTGCATTCAGTTTTTATTCACAATTTGTTTAGTGTCCCAACTTTTTTGGAATCCGGGTTGTACTTATTTGTTGCCTCCGGTTTCTGTTGGCCCCCGGCTTCAACCGGGCTGAGGTGCCAAGAGGCCAGAGTTAGTAGTCAGACTCTTCAGTAATGTTCAGAACAAAAGCCTGCTCATATACTTGTCTGTGCGTGTTTGAAACCATCCGAGCATGCCCCGAGCCTTTCTCCTCCTGGCTACTGTAATGTTTAATTATAATTTTAATTAACCGAGGTATACTGGAGTTGTTCGAAGCAAAGTTGTCTTTTTATTAATTTAAGCCATATGCAAGAAAAGGAACAAAAGCTCTGCTAATTACATTCATATCTGCTGTAGTTTGAAAACGACACCCACGTAACAGCAGGAGTTTCTTTATCCCAGTGTGTGGGGAAAAAATGTGTGTGAAGTCGCACACCTTGCCAACAAGTGCCGGGATGTTCATGGAGTTGGTGGCAAAGCCCATCCCGAATGTCATGGAGGATTCTACTCCGAGGAAGTCCGCCACGAGTTGTTCCAGCTCCTCATGCATGCGCAGGTTTCCTTCAAGACAGAAACGAAGAGCGTTGTTTTTTTTTTTTTTAACTCCCGAGGTTCTACTGGTTTTTTGTTTTGACAACTGATCACACATTTTGACAAAGAAGCTCTCGTAAGAGCCGAACACAAACACCCGGATCAGTACCTGCACTCTTCTGAGATTCAGCAAGCTTTAGGAAGATTTAAGACGTTACACTGTTGGAATTTAAATGTTCCTTTCCGTTTCCTCACAGGTCCTGCAGGGTGTAAAAACAATCCTGCAGCACGATTTGAGGCGGAAGCAGTTGATTATAAACCGATATGACAAGTGGGAACCAGAACTCATATGTGGGCAAATCTTGTCACCGGAAAAAATGTTTCTTTCAATCTGTGGGATGTTCTGGTTTCTGCTTGTGTAACCATCCGATAAATAAAAGAAATGTGGGTACGGTTGTAATTCACGGTAGAGAGGCAGGCAGTTAAAGGAAACCGATGTGTCGTCACACATCTGACTTAATGTAGAGTTTAAACATTTTCATTTTAGCACCTTGTGCTGCAGCACATTTAAATGGTACATCCACTGTAAACACATGTTACGGTAGTTACTGCCTACCATCGAAGGAGAAGGTGCAGCGATAGTCGCTCATGTTTTTGTGTGTTTGTATTGTTAGCAAAATAGTTCATAATGACTACAGGGATTTTAATTAAACTTTCAGTAAGTAATTATTGGATGTAAGCCCGTCGCAATAAATAATAAAATCAATTAATCAATTAATCACATGATGAATGAAAATTATCTACCTCATTTTCATTTATCGGCTTTAGGGGGAGTGGTGGCGCAGAGGTTAGAGAAGGTGGGCCTGTGATCGGAAGATCGCCGGTTCAAGCCCCGGTACCGACAACATCAAAAATGTGGGTGGGGTAGGTGAAGCACCCACACCCGCCCCCACCCTCATTCGTCCCACTCTGGGCCCTTGAGCAAGGCCCTTAACCTCCACCATCTGCTCCTCCGGGTGTCCTAGATAGCAGCTCTCTGCTCCACACAGAGGGCTGTGGTAGCTCGGTGGTCCGTGGTTGCATCAGGAAGGGCATCCGGCGTAAAAATAACTGCCAAGTCTTCATGCGACTTAATTCGCTGTGGCGACCCCTAACGCAGGGAGCAGCCGAAAAAAATTAAAATTCATTTATCGGCTTTATCGTTTTTTCGTGCCTCTCTTTATACTGGAGACACTGGATGACAAAAAGCTCAACTCTAGTGCTCTTCGCTGACCCCTCCCCTTCTCCTTTCGCTTTAAAATCCATTTTAACCATCTAAAATCACATTTTTGGATCGTTAAAAGCAGCTAAGCTGAGAAGCTAAGCTATCGGGGGAAAAAAACCCTCCGTCTTGTCGAAGTTCCAAAATTCACGGTTGAAACCAGTGCCTTCGTGTAAAAAGTTGTTTTTCTCTGCAAAAAGAAGCTGAGAGCTTGTTTACTGATTTTTAATAAAAGATCTGTGTGAAAAATGTTATGCTAAAAAGCTCAAACCACAACAAGGGTCCGCCATTTTGAGAACTGGAAAAAGTAAAGAGAAACAGCCTATGTCACGTCAAGGGGCCTCCCTCCCATTTTACTTAAAGAGACACGCTGCTCGCTCCCTCACTATCCATCCTTCGGTTCAAACCGTCTTATACGGCCATCTGGTGGTCAAAAAAGTACTACACTCAAAACAAATGAAGCATTTCTTCTTAAATTTGACAATAATTACTTATTATCGTCAAATTTCAAATATCGTTTATCGCAATAATTTCTGAGACAGTTAATCGCCCAGCAAAATTTGTTATTGTGACAGGAATAATTGGATGTACTTCTTCAACTGATTGTAGTGAACACAATTCAAGATGGACGCCACAGCAAAGCGATCTGAGCACACACAAAAATGGCTGCAACTCAGTCACTCTTACAGATGATTGAGCGAAAACGTGGAGTGGTAGTAGATGAGACTTATTCCAAACTTATACTCTGAGCACCAATTCATTGCACATGATTGATCATCATCATTACCTTTTGGAATCAACTCTGTTAGCAAAATAACTGATGTGGATGGATCTTTTTTTTTATTATTGGACGTATGAGTAAAACTGAATAACTTTTAGAGTTACCCCAACTCAAGATGGCTGCAACAACTGGTCGACCTTGGTCAGCACAAAAATGTCCATCCATCCATCATCTTCCACTTGTTCTGGAGTCTGGTCTCAGGGGCAGCACCTTGAGCAGGGAGGTCCAAACCTCTCTTTCCACAGCCACCTCTTCCAGCTCTTCTGGGAGGCGTGTCCTAAGACTTCTGAGGTCTCCTCCCAGTTGAACTTGCCTTGAAAACCTCTCTGTAGGCATTCTTACCAGATGTCGGGAACCCCCTCAACTGACTCATCTGGATGTGGAAAAGCAGTGGCTCTACTCTGAGTCTCTTCTGGATGACTGACCTTCTCGTCTCATCTCTAAGAAGAGTCCAGCTACCCTGCAGAGAACTCATTTCGACCCCTTTCATAACCATAGGTGAGGGTAGGAGCTTATGCCCACTGGTAAACAAAGCACCTGTCCTTGCAGCTAAGCTCCCTCTTCACTACAACAGACCAGCACAGAGTCCGCAATACTGCAGAAGCTGCACCGATCCATCTGGGGATCTCACGCTCCATTCTTCCTTCACTCATGAACAAAACACTGAGATACTTGAACTCCTCCGCTTGAGACAGAACCTCACTCAACCCGGAAAAGGACAATCCATCCATTATTGCTCATGAACTTTGATGATTTGAACCACTTTGGCCATGGAGTCAACGGGGGAGAGGGCGGACTCAAGAAACCATCTTATCACCATCAAACTGGTTGGCCCACTACGTGAGTGTGCTGTCTATGGGACAGAGTCTGTTGTGGCTCCTCGGACTGATGAAGTCCTTCGGATGAAAGACGAAACGCTTCAACACAAAGAAACCGTCCAGAGGACCTGACTTAACTTTGCTGGACAATCCATCCTGTTCCAACTGAAGACCATGCCCTCAGATTTGGAGCCGCTCCAGCGAATGACAAGCTCTACCTCAGTGAATCTTAACCATACTGAGTTAAAACTTTGGTTTGGTAGTAGCAGAGAGTCATTCACAACACATACCCTGAGCACTAACAGATCATGAAGATACCACATGAGATCCTGATGCATGCTCAATAATCCAGATAGAAAAATCTAAAAAAGTTAAATCTGGTCCTCTGTAATGTCCAGAGGACCTGATTTAACTTTTTAGATACCACATGAGACTGAATGTAATGTTATTTTCAACGTTTGACTGAGATAGCTTTAACTCCTGCATGAACTCGGTTTAAAACACTGGAATGAAAGGTGGCGGGCGAGATGCATTCTTTCAAAGAATGCTTGGCCTTTGGTTATGATAGTGAGAATCGATAACGACCATTAACCGCACGGAGCAGATGTGTCAAGCAGGACCAGAAAATGGAAATGTGAGTGATGGGCATAAATCTGTAATGATGTGGAGCAGCTCTGTCTTTATGCCGATTCCCATTCGGCGCGTTCCATCGGGCCTTGCGCCAAGGTAGATCGATTCGTACATTTCCTCGACCACTCAGGCACACGACCTCTGCCGTTACGCGCAGTGATTTTTATTTTTTTTTAACCAGGCTGCACTGGCATTTGCTCTTTAAAGAACACTTCCCTTGGCTGTGGTTTCGCAGTGCTGACCTTGTTGATATTTTAACCTTCGCAAGCCTGCTTCGGGCCTAAACACGTCTCAGGTACAGCAGAGAATACTCGTTTTAGTAAAGCGCCTTGCTCTTGGATCGTCCACCTGCCCTTTGAGTCAGCACCGCAATCACAGTTAGTGAAAACATTAAATACTAATCCACTTATGGAAATCACTGCAGTCTGTTTTATTGTTAACACATGACTGAAGCCTTTCTCAAATCCGTTACAGCAAGAAAATAAAAAAAAAAGAGTTATTCATTTCTATCAGCAACCATGAATGACTTCACAGTTTACAGGTTTAGTCTTTGATCAGCTTTAACCTGTCAAGACGACCCCACTAGTAAACTGGTGCGGTCATTTTAAAACCACGTGCCTGGCAGCTCCACCTAACTGGTAATAAATTAGTGGAGATTACGTTAATGATTGTGGGAAGGGTTAACGACTGGACGACAATGAGCTGTTCGTTAATGTTTAGAGAGGTCTGACGTGTGCGTTTGCTCGCAGGGTGTGCTTTCTCTGAACTTTCTGACAAGTTTTACTGGACGATTCGATAAGTAAAAAAAACACACACTGTACGTCCCGGTGGCGAGGGAGTGATTTACAAGTTTTCTTATTCAGACGTTCGGATAAACTGAAAGAAGTTTCGTTTTAAATTCAGCTTCACGAACTTGAATTTTATCATTTAATCCATCCATTATCTTTACCTACTTCTTCCTTTCTGGGTCCTGGGGGGGTCACTGGTGCCCATATCCAGCAGTCACTGTGCGAGAGGTGGGGTGCTCCAAATAATGAAACTCCCAGAAGGAAACCCTTGGATGCACATCTACAAGTGACTAACACTGGGGATCATCTTGATCCAAGATTCAACATTTTGGTAGAGGAGTAGCTGAACCCCACCCCCCAAAAGACAAGACTAAGCACTACTCTTCAATATAGGATCAAATCCTTGGCTTTAATTGTTGGAGTCTACCATGTTTGTTAGCAAAATACCTCATGTACCGTTGAACAGATTTTAATTAAACCCTTACAAAGTTACCACTGGGGACTGACTAGAAAGGCAGCCACCTATTATTATCCACCTGAAAAGGGTCTTGCTCTTCTACAAACGTTAATGTGGCTTGAACCGCAACGTGTACCCCCACAAATTTTATATTGAAACGACCGGCTCGGCAACGTGATGTGTGCCGTTACTGTTATTGGCACTATGAGTTACCGTGGCCACGTAATTTACAAATAAAAGACGCCATTTGTATCATTGAAAAACACTGAGAATTCTTAACAGTTTCTAGCTGCCGCAGTGAGGTCACATGACCTAGAGCAGAGCTATTCAACTAGTGGCCCGGGGGTCAAATCAGGCCCACGGGTGTGCTCAGTTCGGTCCACAAATGGGTTAATTTTTAAATAAAACTAGATTTTAAATCATAAAACAACCTTACTTAATGAGAACAGCTGCTGAATGTCCGGCCCCCGAGCTCTTGGCTTTCAGTAACTGTGCCCCCCCGAGCAATTTAGTTGAATAGCCCTGACCTAGAGGGAAGATGTCTCTGAACTAAACTCAATATGCCACTGAACAAACTCTTCCTTCCACCACATCTTAAGATACACATATTATAAATCAAAACAGGCATTTTTGCCATCTAAATTTTAAAATGGCCACCATGTGGCAGTCCCCATCAAAGTTTCTTCAGGAACTTCCTAGTTGCATATGCAGCTACACCTGATAGTGGCGGCACGGTGGCACAGTTGGGCTGTCGCCTCTCAGTGAGAAGGTCGCCTGGTTCAAATCTCGGTCGGGGGCCTTTCTGGGTGGAGTTTGCATGTTCTCTCCGTGCATGCGTGGGTTTTCTCCGGGTACTCCAGTTTCCTCCCATAGAACAAAAACATGCATGTTAGGCTGATTGGTAACTCTGAATTGTCCCTAGTTGTGAGTGAGAGAGTGAATGGTTGTTTGTCTCTGTGTCCCTGTGATGGACTGGAGACCGGTCCAGGTGTCCCCCGCCTCTCACACAGTGATGGGCACCCGAAAAAGGAAGAAGCGGGTAAAGATGATGGATGGATGGTTAATTCAAGTGGGTTGTAACAGATAATCTACATTAGTCGTCACGAAAAGGCTCCAGCTCAGACAGTTTTGCAGATGTTGAGATAAATTTTGGCACCGTAGTAGCGTGACATGGAAGATATTTTCAGGGTTTCAACAGAGCGGCTATGACTGTTTCATCTCTCAACATCAGATTATTTTAGTTAGAAACTCTGGCATAAAAGGCAGCGGGCGACAGGCATTCCTTTGAGGAACGCTTGGCTCTTCGTTAAAGTCTAAATAAATTGCATCTTCGTAGATAACCACTCAGGAAATGTTGGATTTGGAGGATTTCTTTTCTGATCACCTCCTGAACAAATTGCTTTGGCAGTGGAAGCGGCGTCGCTGCAACTAAAGAGACGCTTTAATTATTTATTCCTAATCTGGTCTCAGGAGAGAAATGCTTGTTTTTTTTTTCTTCCTTTAACTCACTCAGCGAGCCAGCTGAAACGCACATTAGAAACCCAGACAAAAACAGTTCGGGGTTTTGAAAGCGAAGTCAACATATGAATAAATCACATAAATGAATAATGGATGGTTTTAGGGTGGCTGAGAGTGGGGGTGGGGTGGGGGGGTACTCTGACAAACATTCTTTGTTTTTGTTTCCGGTGTCAAACTGCTGATATCATGCAACGCATACCGAGACTTCTTTTTTTCGGCTTGTGTGCACGCTCACCTTTAGTGAGTCTGCACTCAGCAGATAGAAAAGCAACTGGCAGCAGAAGAAGCGTCACATTAAACATTATTAAAAAAAAAAAAAAAAATAAAACTTTCTGCTCAGTGAGCTCCATAACCAATAAGGTCAGATTATACACAGCTGATTGCCAATGAGACTCACGCCGCCACTTGACTCATCATTAAAAGCTGTATGGAAGATAAAAGGATAAAACACCATTCAAAATTCATCAGGATCCATTTTTTTGATCCCCACTCTCGCAGCACATTCATGTATATTCCATTTGCATCCCGTTTAATGAAGTCACATGTTTCACTTGAACATGGTTTCCACTGCTCCTCCGTGGACCAGCGTGGATCTGAACTGATGACTATTGTGCATAATTTAAGAAAAGCTGAATAATTCATAAAACACTGCAGTCACTGGCAGATAATTAAACATTCTCCCAGTATAATTTTCAAGAATATAATAAATGGTGGCGTATGTGCCATGTCTGGTTGGGGTCTGACAGAGATATCAGAAGCTGAAATGAGAACAATAGACCTCTAACTTATAAGGTGGATTTCTGTTTTTTGCTTCAGAATATTTGAATGTTCGAGCTGCAGTTAACTCGAAACAAGAAGTGGCATTTTATTTTTGAAAACTCAACATGACCACAAACTTACCAATTTCCTGTCTTGTGCTGCAAACCCCAGCTCCATATTGCTGTAAGCGATCTGCCACCGTTTTCAGGAAATCGGCATTGTTCTCAGCGAAACCGAGGTAATTGTAAGAGCCCATGTTGATGACATTATAAATGGTTCTCCCAGTAAACCTGTAAGGACATTCAATGTGTTTACATTTTAAATCATTTAATGTGTTTTTCCTTCTGCTCCCTTCGATCCTGCATGGATAAGTGGGTAAATGAAAATGAATGTACACAGAAACATGCTGATTAACTTCTGTATATAATGCAAAAGTACACAACACATTTAAATACATTTGCTGCTTAAAAACACTGAAATCCAAACTATGTGGTAGAAATACCTGGTCCATACCAAGTATATTTATTTATTAGATTCTTCATTTGGCTGCTTCCTTACTGAAGGGTCGCCACAGCAAACTAACTTGCACGAAGACTTGGTGATCGTTTTCACGCCGGATGCCCTTCCTGACGCAACCACAGACCACTGATCTACCACAGCCTCTGTGTGGAGTGGAGAGCTGCATCTAGAGCACCCAGGGAGCAGATGGTGGGGGTTAAGGGCCTTGCTCAAGGGCCCAGAGTGGGGCAAATGAGGGTGGAGGCAGTTGTGGATGTTTCACATTTTCCACCCACATTTATGACGTAATTGGTCAGGGGAGTTGAACCGGCGACCTTCCGATCACAGGCTCGCCTTCTCTAATCTCTATCCCAACCACTCCCCCAGCAAGTACCTACCAGGTACGTACCGGGTACATACATTGTACATACCAGGTATGTACCGGGTACATACATTGTACGTACCAGGTACATACTGTGTACATACCAGGTATGTACCGGGTACATACATTGTACGTACCAGGTACGTACTGGGTATATACATGGTAGGTACCAAGTACATACATGATTCATACTGGGCACATACTGTATATGGTACATATATGGCACATACTGGGTGCATACATGGCTTGCACCTGGTACATACTACTGGGAGCAGTGGCACAGAAGTTTGAGAAGGTGGTCCTGTTATCGGAAGGTCACCGGTTCAACTCCCCTGACCAACTACGTCAAAAACGTGGGTGGAAAATGTGAAACATCCACAACTGCCTCCATCCTCTTTTGCCCTACTCTGGGCCCTTGAGCAAGGCCCTTAACCCCCACCATCTGCTCCCAAAACAGGCCTCTCTTGAAAATGAGTCCTTGTGACTCAATGAGATTACCTGTATAAATAAAGGTTAAATTAAAAAAATTAAATAAAAAAATACCAGGTACATACATGGTACATACTGGGCACATTCAGGGGTACCTACAAGGGACGTACCAGGTACATACTTGGTACTTAATGGGTACATACTGGGTACTTACCATGTACTTACTAGACACCAGGCATTTACCGGTACAAGATATGTACCAGTTACATACTTGGTATGTTCTTAATTGGTAAATTTTAAAACTAATAAAAAAAAACAAAACATTTGTAATATTTTTCTTTTTAATTCATTTCATTTTTTCCCTTCGATATCAGAAGAATAGATACACATCACTCCAGTTCACATGGAACGTCAAAATCTCAGTGACGATGAACGTGATCTACTTCTCTTAAACATCTTCCACATTTCTTCAGCTGACCTACTTTTGCCCCCACAGCTCACGAGAACCTGCATTTACCATTTTACCAATTCACCACACTCCACTGAAAAAGTCGAGAGGACTTCCCCATATCTGCTTCTTCCAGTCACATTAAACCTTTTTAAACATGTAATCCACACTTACCTCTTCTACCGACTCACAATATCTTTTTCCTTCCCTGTGGCTGCCTGCTCATTTTCTTTTTCATAATATATTCTCTGACCCTGCTGTGCAGCCATGAGGAATATCAATTGCGGTTCAGAAAGTCATAAACACATTTTTGCATATGGTACATTTGCCAATGAGAAATACCCACACTACAGTTATTCCTATAACCATACAGAGGAGAAATAATCTTCTCTACTTTTAAACCCCTATAGGATGACTGAGTTCAAAAACACTAAGCCGTCACATAACATGTCACTAAAATATACAATCAAGACCAAGACCAAGACTCCTAGAGGTGCTTTGTGGGGGCTGGTGTTAAATAAAGAGGGTTCCTTTAATAACTAACAAATCTTTGAAACCAAGGCTAGCTCTGCCAACAAGTCTTTTTTGAAGATGTTCCAAGATCTGTAGACCAGTCGATGCCTTTCCCATCCAACACTGTACACAATACTTTAATATGTAACACTGTGCCAGTACCGTCACACATTTATTCTGTTATCAGCTTGTGAGAACATCTGCCTGAGGCGGTGGGGTCAGAGTACCTGAATGTCCAGTTGTAGTCATCAGACACCCGTTCCATCAGGTCAAAGACGGGTCCCGGCAGGCTGCATATGGGACGGTTCCAGTTGTCCCGTACTCGCATGTACAGGTTTCTAGTGTAAAAATTTTCAAAATCTTGATAAAGTGGCGTGAAGTCCTAAGGAAGAGCGAAAAAGAAATGTTATTTATAACATCGCAATAAGCCAAAGGCAAGTTAAATTCTTTATTGTTTACCCTTTAATACACTTGAGCTGGTGTAATAAAGTTTCCCTTCCCTTTCATCTCTTACTGTAAGTAAATGTTATACAACACAAGGAGCAGAATGTCTAGTTATTCTTTTTAAAGAGTCTTTTCTGTAATGCCCACTGGGACTTTATAAAAATAACAACAAACCAATGTCAAGATTTGAAGGTTTTTGTGTGTCCAAAGTACTTTCCAATTTAACTTTCACCGAAGAGACGATGCTACAAAATCTGAACCAAAATAACAAAGAAAGAGGTTCAATCCTCGGAGATTTAATTAGATCTCCTCGACACATATTCTCTTTGGTGTTCTGTCTCACCCATGGCAACTTTATACAGAAGTGCATAGAAACGTAACAAGAAAAGGGGACAGCTTAAAGAAAAAAACCTGTAAAATAACTGTATTGATGCTGTGTGAACGTTTTAATGTATATAAATGTGGTGACAGTGGTTTTCACACCTTCTGCGCCTCTCTTTCCTGGGCGATGTTGCACTTCTCGATACCCACAGCTCTGAGGAAGTCTCTGAAGTATCCAAACAGGGTGACGATGCCGTAGCCTACGTATGTCATGACAGCCACATACATAGGAGGCTGTTCAAAGGACTCCGGCCTGGACTGCTTCCTGGAGCCGACACTAGCCCGTGGGCTAATTTTCTGCTCAACAACAAGCCAACATAAGGTGTCTTACAATGTAGACAAGAACACAACACTGTTTGAGCAAATGGGAGTCAATAGCGCACAAAGGGTTTAATCAATAACACGTACTGTTTATCAGCAAAGGAAGAACTGAACGAAACTGCAATTGTCAGCATTCTTCATTTCAATTAGCATCCGCCACTGTTGCAAAAACCTGCAAATTATGGGGAGTTGGAAACTTTCCATGGTGAATTAAGAATTATGGAAATAAATTTTATGTTTGAAGTTTTGAAAGTTAGTCCTTCACATGGATTTTACATGCAGTATTTTGGCATAATGATTGAAACCAGGTGTCCTTGGTGTACCATACAATAAAAATTACCACACCTAAAAAATGATAACCCGTGTCACCTGGACATGTAGGGACAAATGGAAATGCAGTAGTCCCTCATTTATTGTGGGATGTAGGGCGGCTGTGGCTGAGAGTGGTTAGAGCAGTCGTCCTCCAATGCAAGAGTTGGGGGTTAGATTCCACCAGCTGTCACATGTCAAAAAGTGTCCCTGGGAAAGACACTGAACCCCTCGTTGCCTTTGATGTGTGTCCCATCGGTGAATGAATGTGATCAAGCACGGATTAATCTTTGTAGAGATCTAGTCGAGTGCTGCATGAATGGGTAAATGTAGTGTAAAGCGCTTTGAGTATCTCGATAAGATAGAAAGGCGCTATAAGTACAGTCCATTTTACCATTACGTTCAAACACCCCCGTGATAGGTCCATGAAGTAGGGACATATTTATTTTAGTATTTATATACGCATCTATATATCGTCCTTCTTGATATAGCGAGCGTTACACCGGGTAAGAGATAGAGGCGGCGGGTGGCGGGGTCCGACAGCAGCGGTGCACCCGGAGGGCTGACGCGTTATTCGCACTGTGGCCTCCGCCCTCCTTCCCGTGCTGGAGCAGGTCTCCTCTGCCAGTGCTGGGGAGGTGAGCGCGAGGACACGGGAAACACGGAGGAAGGTCTCCACTGGCAGCTGCACCCCGCGAGCGCTGTGGGCTTGATGGTAGAAGGCATCCCCCCAGACGCATGCCGGGAGGCATATGGATGGGGAGGGCCGTATGGATGCCAGAGGTACGGTCCCTGGACAGGGACTGGGCTGCCCGGTCCTTAAAGAGCACAGCAAATGAGCAGACAGACTGTTGCTACGGTTACTGAGTCAACCAGCGCCCGGGATACTGAGCACAATACTCTGGTCGCCTTCCATCAATCAACCAATCATGTGTCATGTACAATCTTACGCTGAAAACACGCAAAACTGTTGAGTCCGCAAAGTATCGAGGATCTACTGAAGTACCTTTTTTTTTTTGTTTAGTAATGTAAATAGTTTTGTAAAATACAATTTCCTGTAATTCATTTAGTTTTTAGATAAAATTAAAGAAATCTTTAAATAGTTGAAAACCTTTTTTTTTTTTTACATTTTAGAGATTTGTGTTATACAATTTATGTTTAGCTTTTATGAATACAAGGATAAAAAAAATCATATAACATCTGTATTTTTTTTCCAGAGTTGTGTAAATAAATGTAGAAAATAACAACAACTAACAAGTAGAAATGCAGAAAGTTTCAAAACCCACTGGTCTCAGATTTTCCACCGTGATGTGAAAATCAGTGTGTCAGATGTTACTTTCATACAGTATGTATGGGTCAACCACACTATTTGCCTTTCAACAGCATCCGTCTATGACCAAACAAAATGTTAAAGAATTTCTTTGGATGTGATGCAGTTCATTTAAATTACTTTCAATTTCTAGTTAAATTCCCGTTAACTCTCAAATTCCCTTGGAAAGTTTCCACGTTGGTATATTTCCAAAATTTCCCAGCTTAGTTTATTGAAAATGGAAAATTTCGAGAAGTATACCAAAAAATGTCCACCCATTGCAATCACAACTTGAATAGCACTTCAAAATAAAATAGAGTACAAACAGTGACAGTAAAAGCACATTTTCTGAACACACAAAATCAGAATAAATCTGTGGTCCTGAAATGCAAGAATAAGGAACGTATCAAACATTTTGTATAAAAAAGACCAACTTTCATAGCAGCCTTTTTAACTGGCATCATCACTGTTCAAGAAACAAATCTTGCTCAATAATTTAATTCCCTGTGCTACCCAGGATGACATTTAGAATATTGTGATTTACCAGTGATTCTTTTAATTTAAACAGGCTTTTAACTAACTCGCGACGAAGGTCAAACTCGAAAAATGGTAACAAAAGTAAATCATGCGAGAAGTATTTTATGTTATCTTGTCATAGATGTACAATTAGATACAACAAGAGGCGCTGCACCTTTTAGCGTGAAAAGGAATGTAGAACGACAAATTGGCTTCACTTGGAGACATGGGGGTTTGACTCTTTGATGCATACTGTTTGTTTGAATGCTCCGGGTACTTGCCCCAGCCAGTTTTTCAGCATCGTTGAGATACGCGTCCCCATTACTCTAAAACTCTCAACAAAAGTGCTACAAAATCGATGTTAGTTTGAAACCTTGAAGTGTAGCTATGGAAATCTTGGGTCTTTGATCGCCAAGGTTTTGAGATTTTGACTGAAAGTCTGCAGATACATCCACACCTAAAAACAAAAAATATATATATGGAAAAGCTAAAAAATACTACCGTTCTGTTGAGGAAACAATAATGTAGAGCAGTTGATGTTGATGAGTTGATGTTTTTTTTTTTTTGGTACTCACTACTTTAGCTTCACAGCTAAAATGAAAAGCATCCGTTTGATCGCAGTACCTACACAAATTCAGGCCTTGTACAGGTATTAAAAATTCTACGTTGCCTATGCTCCATTTTTCCACACACAAATACCATTTTTTGGTGGGGAAAACTTAAGAATTTGGTTTTAAAAATCCGTTTCTAGTGTGTCTGGGGAGATACAAAGATGCAGTAGTAGCATATTCTGCATTTATCCACTATTACTTACTAAAACAACACCAGAGAGGTCTTTACCAGATTTTCTACACCCGTCTTGCATAGTGTGGATGGTGACGATAATATAAACGAAGAAACAATAAGGTAGTGTAGACTGGGCTCCAACCTTTTGCCAAACACTCAGTTTGACTTATTTTATTATTGTATACATTTTCTTAAGACAAAGCTATGTTAAATTTTATAAGACTATAAATAACTACAATATGATTCATGCAGATTTTTTTAACCTCCTTTCAGCTGCTTGTTTGTTTTTCAGGGGTCGTCGCCACAACGAGCGACCAAGCACAAATTCCCACATTTTCATTTGAATATTTATATCTAAAAATGATAGTACAAATATTTACAAGAGACTCTATGTAAAGGGTAATTAATACCTTAGCTATAGAGAACACTTTACACAGCATCAGTTTGGAGAGATTCAGCTTAAACTGAACCGAACTCACTAGCTAACGGTTAGTTTGAGCAGGACCAAGGTGACTGCTAGTCTTAAAAACAACTCAAAGTGGAAAAAGTATAATTATAGCCGTTTCTGCAAACACCGTTTTATTAACTTTTTCATCACAGTCTGTGCCAGTACGCATAATTTTTAAAATAAAATTTAAGTTATCTGAGGAGCAGCTAGCTAACTAGCTAGCTATAGCACTTCCGATGCAAACGTCCGGCAGGAATATCATAATATTCCATACTAATGCTCAACAAAGTCAGTACTTCGCAACGTACTATGACCTAGATATATTCAAGCCTACTTCTGGTTGTTTTAATCAACTTTTATGAACTTTAATGTTAATATTAGCAAACACTTTGCAAATGAAAATGTGTGGGAACCCCATTAAGTTTGGGACGGACGTTATTGTTTGGTGGTGAAGTCTTTCCTCTGTCAAAATGTTATGCGTCGGACTCGTGCTTAACAGAACGCTGTTAGAAATGTTCGAGTGGTTTTAGTGAGATAAATTGCCAAAGCATAATCTTACCTTGCTCCAAAAGACTTGATATCGTACTTTTTTTTTTAAACATAATTTTTAAAGTTTTAACTGGTTTGGCGCACAACTATTTAACCAAACACCTCCACTCAAAAACAACGAGGTCATCAGAGCAAGAGACCCACAAAGTGACAGGCTCGTGGTGGTTGCCATGGTAACCACAGGCCTGTATGCGTCTCCCACACCCTTAATGTGAGGCAGACAGAAACACAGACTGGAAAATGGATCTCAAACAGTCGCTTTTGGCTTGTGACTCAAAAAAAGGTATAATAACTTTGCAAACTTTACAAAACAGTCATAACACTATGATGCAGGGGTGTCGAACCCACTTACAAAAAAGGGGGTCAAAATTAAAACCTTTTTCAAACTAAAGGGCCAGTTTCAGAAACTAATTCAAGTTAGATTCCCAACGTCTTTTCTTGGTTGCAGGTTCCTCAACAAGAGTTTGATTGTTGCACTTTTGACGTCATAATCAAAGATTACTGAAAAAAATTAACGTGATAAAAGTATTTTACATTTAAAATAGCATCTTGAGGGCCAGATAAGATGTCAACAAGGGCCACATTTGGCCCCAGGGCCATGAGTTTGACACATGTTATATGCATAATCTTACCTTCCTCCAAAAGACTTTAAAATTAAGTCAAAAGAATTAATGATAAGTTGTTTTTTTTTAAGTTTTAACCGGTTTGACACCCAACTATTTAACCAAACGGCTCATAACAGTATTGAGGTCATCAAGCCAGAGACCCACAAAGCAACAGGTTCATTGTGGTTACCGTGGATACCACACTTGTCTCCCACACCCTTAATAAAAGGCAGACAGAAACGCAGCCTGGAAAATAGGGCTAAAAACAGTTGCGCCTGCGATTCAAAAAAAAAAAAAAAAAAAGTTATAGAAACTTTGCATACTTTACACACCAGTCTTAACACTATAACACTTTAACACTATAATATAATCTTTTTCTTTTTTTTTTTAAACAGTTGATGATTACGCTTGTTGACTTTAAGCAAAGTGGAAATAAACCGACGTTTTACTACGTTGTTTGTCAAATATCCATTCTCAAAACAGGCGTTCAAGACTGAAGTTGCCCAAGAATGTGAAGTCATTGTGTGCAATGTCAACAATGGCTTCAGGACGAAGCGGCAGTTTATTGTGAAGAAAACAAACGTACTTTGTTAACCTTTGACTCATCGCCTGAAGACATGGAAATGAAGCGAGATATTAAAATGCGTATTAAGTGTTGTTTCATATCAACAGGAAGAAGATTTAGTCACGTTTTTTTAAAGTGGGGATGCAGCCGGTGAAAATATAAAGTTAGTTTACGTCACATACGTCATGTTAAGGTTAAAAACCCGAACACACGTGATGGAACTGCCGCACCTAAGAGGCAAATATATGAAGAACATTAAACCGGTAAGAGACATACCTCTCTCCCGGTGCGGACGCCATTCTTCCCCCAATCTTCGCGTTTCAGTCCGTTCAGGTGAGGCTTTAAGTTTCCAGTAGCAGTTATTATGGCCATTTTCCTGAACGAGCGACTGTCTCTTCTGCTCAACAGTCGGTTGTAAATAATAAATAAATAAAAAAAACATACGGTGAGCTTTTTCCAAAGGTGACTTCCTCTTTCTGACGTTTCGGTTCTGCCTCCTTTTTATTCCGTGTAAAGGATTCGCTGAAATCGTGCACCTCATGTTTCAATATGCTAATGACTCCTGTGGTTATAAAAAACAAAAACACTACAACTTTACTTTAAGTTCAAAGCGGAGGATTTTTTTTTATTGTGTTTTTTTTTTTTTTAAGTTAAAGTAATAATACATTAATAAAACCAGAGCGCTGCAAAAAAAAAAAAGAAGCTAAAAAAGTAGTGCTCAAACTAATTAAATGCAGCAGCTAAAATTTAACTAAACATTAGCAAAAATAAGGTCAGTAAATCCAACGTTAGCTAAACAAATCATGCAGTTAGCAAAACAGCTAAAACTAGCTAACCCGCTACACAGAAACGTTAGCACAACTGATGCTAATTATAGCAAATCTAGTTAAAAGTAGCTAAATAAATAAAGACAAGTAAAATAGTTAACAGATAGTTAGAAGCAAATTGGAACAAACAGCTACAATCTAAAAGTAGCCAAATTCATATATATATATATA